GCTGAAATCTAAAACCAAGTATAACACATCAATTTTTTCTCAGGGTAAGTATTCCTGTTCCGATTGGGCAAGCAGTACGCGACATCCAGCAACTTGTCCAGGCACAAACAAACGCACAGATCCTTGGATTCGCAGTTGGCCAGGAAATGCGAATCATGCGGTAAGGCCTACGTTCCATGGCAGCCTTGGCTATGCATCAGCTTACTCATCGTCTGGCACACAGATGTCGACTGTGCGGAAAATTGTTCTCCAGACCTTGGTTACTGCAAGGACACTTGAGGTAAAAGACCAGCAAAACTGTTTATCCCACAAACAGAATAAAATATGTTATTTATACCATGTGTTTTTCTTCCTCAGGTCTCATACTGGTGAAAAACCTTACGGTTGTGCCCACTGCGGCAAGGCATTTGCAGACAGATCCATCTCCGAGCACACATGCAGACGCACAATGCTGATAAAAAACACGAGTGCACCAGATTGGTAAGTTGTTCGCCTTGAAATCTTACCTGAACAAACATCTAGAAGCCAGTTGCACATCATCGCCAGATAAAACAGTACAAGACTCTGCCAAAGTCCAGAACATCGGACAAGATCTAATCAGTCTGATCACATTGATCAACAATTTGATTATCAAGGTATGAAATATGATGCGAGTAGACAATTTGGACATCATAATAAAGAAGAAGATGTTGTCAGGCCGGGATTTTATCAGGAAGTGGTAATTGTTATGTGGATGGTGGTAAAAGTGAGTTTAGGGAGGTGACGACCAAGGTGCAGATGGTAAACTAAAGCATTAACTAAATGACGTTTGAACTTAAAATATTTCGTTTGTTCAAAACCGGTCTGAAACTCAATTCGTCAAGCCAGGAAGTAATTATTATAATCTAATTCTTTGATTACAAATGCTTCAAATATAAATGAGTATCAGAACAATCAGATCTTAAGACAAAAAATTAATATTCTCTTGTGTATCTTTCAAATAACCAAGCAATAACTACCAAGACATCTACTTCATAAATATTCACAAAAAATCATCGAAACTTAAAAAAATACTCATTGATGTAACTTCTAGCAACAAAACCTACCAACAATTTTTCTGGATTATTACAAACGATAATATTTTCTCAACTGGAAGACATTGATAAAGGCTTGCAAACCACCAAATGCAAACTTGTAAATTCAAACCAAGATCCAATTTTTATCACCATTTACTCCAAGTATGAAAAACATCAATTCTTAACCAGAAAAAATCTGATGTTTTATGTGCAACTACTAAAATCTTTCTAATTATGCTATCTAACTGGTAAATTCTTCAAGACAAGCTTATATTCTTTGACCAGAAGTGCAATTGTCCTAAAACAGAGTGTGTTTCTCAAACAAGACATCTAATTTCAATCAAGTGCTACTAAATAAATAAAATAAAGTGTCTACTAAAATTTTCACCTGGTGTCCAATCTTGGAAGCCGAATACTCAGACCAAAAATGGTGCCCAGTTAGTGTCAACAAGTCAAGACTTCACACGCCCCCAAAAAGGTATACTTGAAACTCCAATGCTCGTCCAAAGATGAAAACAAAATTGTTGAAACTTGTTATAAAATTTTTTTATCCAAAAATCGAAGTAACGTATTTTGTAAACAAAATGTTGTATTTTTGAACCCACATGTTCCAAAGATATTTTAAATCGGATTACGTTTTTTGGTAATTTTATTTTTGTTAATAAATAAGTCACAATGTCCCGATTAAAATATAAAGTATCTAGTCTTATGAAAAATATAGTCCTTATATATAAATATATAGCGTTAAGTATTAAAACAGACTTGAAAAATAGCAAAAAGTCCAAATAAATATAAATTTTCAACAACGCTTACCATATTGTCCGAACCTAACACCACAAGTTTCTTACAAACTGGCTTAAGGCTTCGTTACACATGGGTAAGCGTTACGATAATTTTTTTTAGCGATATAACAAATGACTACGACTTATTAAAAAATCGTTATATTATTAAAATGATAAGTATTAACTATTTAAAATAAGATATATATTTAGATAAGATAAATATTATACACCAAAAATATAAATATAGGTCTAAACCATAACCTACACCGTAAGAAGTATTAAACATTATTTTAGCATTAAGACTTCATTTAGTGTAATAAAAAATTGTGTTTGCTTCGCCAAAACTAAAAAACAAACGCTACACAATATTTTTTCACTGATGAATGTCGTCGGAACGTAGTCAGCTAGGAATTTTGTCTAGTCAACAGAACATTAATCTTAAGGCTTCGTAGATAAGATTTTTTATTTTTAGTTGAAAAATAACGTGTGCCCCGAAAACGTCCAAAAATTGTAAGAATTTTAGAATTTGGAATTTTTTGTTGAGAGCAAAACGTGCGTATATATTATATTGATAAGCTTAGTGTAAGAGGATAAGCTTGCTCTCTTATCTTAATCGAAATAAGAAATATGAAATTTAGACAAAACATAACAAGCATAACAAATTTTAGCGTACACGCTTTTCATAAGATAAAGTTTCTTCGATCCTACTCTGCTATCTTATTTTAATACTCCCAGTAACACCAAGCGGCGGTTGCAATCTGAAATCCACATAGATTTCACATGGATATCACAGCGCTTGTGGATTTCAATCGCTACCGCCGTAAACTACACTGGTGTTTTTATATTTGTCTCTGAATGAGATCTTATGTCAAACTAATGAGTAATTGTCTCATTACTTGCTTGAAGATAATCTTCGTTTCTTTTATCTTTCGATAAGATTTATTTATTTACTATTGCTCAACTTATCTACAATCCTTACGGAAGACGAGATAAATTAAGGCTTTTTATTAAGACTTGACTGTTTTGGAACAACAAATTAACATGCATATTACTCTTAAAGACAATTTTCTGTCTCTTAAGATAAGATTTATTTCACTATTCCATCTCTTATTATAAGACTAGATAAATTTTTTTATTTCTGAGAACTGATTGTGGTTGGAATAATAAATTAGTTTCAGAATACTCTTTTAAAGAAAAGTTGTTTTCAACTAAGATACAATTTTATTTGATCTCTTATCTTAATACTCGCTTATAATAAGATAAAAGCTTCTGATTTTACGTTTATACTATTTTTTGAATACTCGCTTATCATAAGATGGTAAGTTTCTTCGTATCGTAGATAAGTAAACGTAGTTTTTCTTTTCATTTTTTCATTGTCTTTTTATTTTTATTTTTTTTTGGTATTCATATATTTATTGTCATCAGTATCCAACGTCATTACATAGATGTAGACATAATATCTTATCTTATCACTCGCTTATCTTAAGATAACTTTTCTCTGATTCACTCTCATTGTCTTGACAAATACTGCTTATCGTGAAATGAGATAATTCTCCTTTTTTGTAAATAATTGATTGAAGCATCATAATATAAACGACATTGATTTACAATTTATATCTTATCTTATCTTAACACTGGTAAGATAAGTTTTACAATTACTAAAAAATACTTAATTATCAAAGGTGAGACTGGTTTTCTTCATCCTATGAAGCATCATTGGTGCAAATCATATTATAACCTTCTAATCTTATCAGTGCTTAATAAAAAGGTTTTTTTCAAAGTGTAGGTAATTATTTTCTTTTACTTTTATCTTATACTACCTACCTTAAGTCGATAAGATTGACAATAAACTCTTATCATTTTGAGATAGTACAACTCGACGTTTTGATTTAAAAGTTCAAAAAGATATGTAACAACCATACTTTTATTATCTTATTATGATAAGATAAGCGAGCAAGCTTATCCGACAAGTGTAGATTTAATAAAAAATATTAGAACCGTCCCAGAAAAACAACAGTTAGATTTAATATAAAACGTGCAAACGATCTGAAGTTGAAGATAGTTCTTGTTAAACGATCGTTTTTGCAAAAACAATTCAGGATAAAAAAAGATGCTTAAATCCAAAAACTATTAATTCCTGACACGTTTCAAAAATATCTTAAAGACCATCATCAAGATAATTAATACAATGCAAAGAATTGATTTTTATATGAAACCCTAAGAAATTCTGTCAAGTCTCTAATTTAATATTTTTTACCTTTTCCACCCGGATGCCACCAATATAAATCTCAAAATTCACGAGTGAAAGGGGTTTAAAAAACATTCTATTTATCGAGGTAGAAAAAAATTGCAAGAATGATCGTGTTAACATAACTATTTTCTATTTTTATAATAAGACAGTAGCCAATAGTAGTGTAGATAGGTAACGTTTAGCTTATAAGATAATAAGTAATATATTTTTAGATCTCCTGAAAACACTTCTGAAACATTCCACCGACTAAAAAATTAGTAATTTAATAAATTTTATTATTATTATTAGATTAAAAATTTTACTCGTGGTCATAATACAAAAAATTTGGACAAAAATAGTAAACGTTTACCATGTTGCCCGAACCTAACTTGATGCTTTTCCATACAATTTACTGAGGCTCGGATATACATGGTCAGCGTTATGGATGCTTTTTAATGCAAAAATTTGTTAAATTTAAATATACAAACATTTACTTTAAAATAAAAAATGAACCACATAATCAGTTTTGAAATATCAAAGACGTTCCAAATAATTTTAATTAAAACGTTGTTAGAATTTTTATAGAACGTGCTAATACAATCTTGTTTGCAAGATAATTTTGTCAAGTTTTTATTAGTTTAAACAAATTATTTATTAACACCGAAAACCAAAAAAGTGTCATTTATTAACATCCAAATTCAAAAGTTATTTTACAAAAACCAAAAATATTTACCACCAATTTTGACCACGAGCAATGAGTTAAAGAAAGAAAACTTACTTAGTTTTATTTTTATATTTTATACTTAAAAACTTATTTATTTTAATAAAAATTAAAATTATTTATTAACATTAAAAAAAAATATTTATTTTTAAAAAAGACTAGTCACATAATTATAAACCAAATTTTATTTATTAAAAACCAAAACTAGTCCCATATTTATAAAACCAATTTTATTATGCAAACAAACTAGTCACTTAATTCAAAATACTAAAAATTTAATATTTAATTAATTACTTTATTTACTACATTTAATTTTAAACAAATTAATTTAAATTTCATGATTCTGATACAACTAACTTTGAGAACCTGTGCACATGCACGCGTATTCTCAAACGTGGGTACTTAAATATAATAATTTATAGAATATTAAAGAAAATAATGTAGTATAAAATATATTTTAAAATAATTTATATATATATTATTATAATATTTATTATAAAAAATGGAAGAGGGTGCAATCTAGTCACTTTAGATTTAAATATTAGTCACTTTAATTTAAATATTAAATTTAACAATTTAATATACAAAATAAATTATTAGTTTATAATTTTTTAAGCAGAGGGGATAGGAGTGCAATAAACAAATAGATGTAAATAAATAAATAATAAGCATTTGCATTTATATTTATAAAATTAATAATTATTTTTTTTTTTAATTTAATTTTTATGTACAGCTAGTCAATATATAAATATATAAAATAATATAAAACAGTATTTATAAAACAATATTATTAATAAAAACGAAAGAGTGTGATATCTAGTCAAAAATTATAATATAAAACAAAAATCTTATGATTTTTAAACGTATATAATATATTAATATATAAATAAAATTATAAATATTACTTATAAATATATTACCATGCATAATTTTAACAGAACGTCATTTTTAAACCCG